ATATGCTTTATGATCTAAATAAAGTGCTTATAAGAAGCTAGTGCTGCTCCAACCTAATAATAGCATTAGAACGAGATTAGGAACAAGAATACTGAATTTATCAAGTAAGTCCTGAAAGGAAACAAAGAATTGAAAGTCATAAGAATGTAAAGGAAAGAGAAAGAAGCCAGTGTGAATAGCTAGATAAAGGTTGAAATCGTGTGCCAGTTAAGCCCTTAACAGCAAGAACTATGAGCAGAACTGAGGTGTGTTGAACAGCTCAGAGCTGCTGCAAGTTATTCTTCCACATCTGTGGGAGATAAAACTTCTCTCCAAGGCCCATCTTCAGAAGAACTCTTGTAAAATGAATGCACTAGAAAGAAGCTTGTCAAAAAGCCTATATAATTTCCCAAGGCATTTATCCATTTTCGTTTACTGACCTTTAACATTGACTAGCAAATGTGTAGTTGTTTACTAAGTGCTATGGTATGATTTTAAAATGCCGTAGAAAGTTTTACAGACTCCATTGGTTTCTATGAGGATTTTCCACGCAGAAGGATAAAAGTCAAGCTAACCAAAAACAAGACGGAAGGAACGAAGGAATACCTGGAACAGATAGGATCAGTATTCATGTTGGTAGCAAAGGATTGATACCCCAGCATAGTACAGAAAGTATATCGCTAAGCTGGAACAGTGCAAGGGAGGGGGTTTCCCCTACGAAGGGAAACATAAATGTCCTCGTCTACCTTTCCCAGTGTGTCAGTCTATATACCAACTCTATAGGAGAATAATAGGGAGCAAGCCACAGGGCTTTCTAATTTTAACCAGTTATGATGAGATGCACAAATCCCAGTCCCATGACGTGAATTATCTTCATTTCTTCACCCTATCGCAGAAATACATGCGTAAGAAGAAAGAGATGGAATTGCTTTGATATTACCAAGTAAGGTGGCGGTGCAGACAAAGACAAGAACTATTAGGCATGAAATAGATAATACGGCACCAGGGACACAAATGACAAATGTCATATCCTTACCATGAAAGAGAAAGGTTTAAGAAAAGAACTCACTGTTTCTACGTGACTACAGTAATGTGAAACAGCCTAAGACAATAATATTAAGCAGCAGCCCTAGATTGCTTTTTTTACAATGAGCCTAGGGAACAGAGCTCTTAACTGATAATTGCTTATTACATACATAGTATTCTGATTGTGTACAATATTCTTATCTCAGCTGAATTCTTCCATAGAAACAGCAAATTGCCTGCCTGATCTGTCACCTGAGGAACTTTTCATCACTCTAGGCATTTTTATCTTATTAATATTGAGATGTATAGTGATTTTAGAAGAAATTTTAAATTTCAATTTTCTGTTCCCAAATCTTAATTTTGCACCTCTTTTCAGCTAGTCCCCATATAGCATTGTTATGATTCTAAAACCAAAACACCTAGATCTGACATAATACCTTTGTTGGAGGAAAAAAATCTCTCTCTGTTGGGTGATGCATCTCGTCCCAAGAAAAGTTTCTAATGTAGGTCAGATTAAATACTTTCTGTAGGCCCCTGTCTCTCTTCACTGGCTACAGAAGGCGCTACCTGTGATTAGGTGAGCTTTAGATGGCTCCTCCTAGACACGGAAAGCAGGCTGATATGGAGTCTTAAAAATCCTGAGACCTTGATGCTTGCCTTTGGGTTGCAGGTCCATGGGGCCTAATGCAGCTGCATCAGAAATGTGAGTGTCATGTAGCAATCTAGATGCTCCTTGTTCTCCCAGGTCCTCTACTTTATTCTTAGTGAGACCAAGGGAGCAACTCTAAATGAAATACCCCTAAAGTTCAGATCAGTCTGCAGGGACTTTGTAAAAATCAAGACTCCTGTTTGGAGTTAGTAACAGAATTGCTGGAACATTTTTTATGCAGTAGGTAGTAATTATGAAAACGAGGTCACTGATATGAAATGGATAAGGCTATTGCTGGATAAGTTTTGTGCATTCAAAATGTGTGCTTTGGTTAGGTTGGTTGGGATACAGTGCTGTGTTAGGTTAGCAAACAACGCTGCTCAATAGAACCATATTTGCAGAACAAACCAGTTGTTGCTGAGGAACCCAGGCCCACACTGCCCTCGTTTCAGGTGGGTTTACTATGGACTGACTCTTCAGATTGAAGGCCATTAGTGGCTGGAGCATGCTGGCTGTGTTAAAAGAGTGGTTCTTACATTTTAGCATCATCTGCTAAAAATATACTCCAAAACCATCCTGAAGTGTGAAACAAAGTGTGGTGAATAGCACACTGAAGACATTTGCTTCAAAAGTGCCTGCTGATCTGAGTTAAAATAACATAGGCACACCCACAATTTCAGTTTCATTGAAAATCTCAAGAGCTGAAAGAAAATGCTCGTGCTGAGTCAAAATGAAGAGCCAAAGCATTTTCTTCACTTTTCCCTGAATAACAGACCTACAGTATTTTATTTCAGAAACAGTAGGAACAATTTGTTCTTCCTATAATGATGCAGTGATTTCCCATGAGCTATGGGAGCAGGAAGGCAAGACTTCCCCACCCATGGTGCACAAAGGACCACTTGGTTTGGAAAACGATCAGGCAGCTTGCCTAGGAACGTGGGCAAGACATCAGACAAGTTTATGATAAGTCATCACCAAGTCCTTTAGAGTGCATTGAGTCAGCTTTTGTTTTCATGCTGCATTGAAAAATTCTCAAATAAGCTATAGATGTGGCCAAATAGAGAGTCATCCCTGTGGAAATAAAGAGCAGAGCACAGACTTGACTAGTGACAGTCCTAACAAAGAATAACTTTGATGGCATTGTCTTGGTTTGTAGTGTTAGAAAAGATATCACTGATATCTTGGCTAATTCTGGAGTTGAAGCTTTTGAGAAAATGACATTTAGAAAAAACAGTTAAGGTTGCCTTGCTCTGATGTATCCATGAAAGGAAAATTTGAGAGTGCTCCTTAATTCAGACAATTAAATGCATTCCCCAGTATTGCTTTACAGGTTGGGGATGTCTCTCCTTCCCCACTAAAGTTAGCACAGCCTGAGGCACCACGAACAGTGTGACAGAAATAATAAATAAGATTAATAAACTCTCCAGGTATTCAGATTTTCTACTGCTTTCAGCCTTGCTAAAATATATAACACTCCTGCACTGATGCTGTATAAGTAACATTAATGCATGCAATCTCTATCCAAAAATTCATTAGGATTTGAGTTTGAGCTACCATATTTTCGCATCCCAAATCAAGGACGAAATACTTGGGAAGAAAATTTTCTGTCTCTCTTTCTTTTCTTTTTTTACTGAATTCCTTTGTCTTTTTTACTTTGTGTGTGAACAGACTGATCTGACCTGTTCTTCTCATGTGCGTAAATCCATTGACACAATGAGACTACTCTGGAGGGAGCACTGGCTGCTCTGGGACTGTTGGTGTAAAGCAAAGCAAATTTGACACCATTTCAATAATTTTATGACATTACAGCTGCTTTTCTCCCTGCTGTTTTTCTGTCTCCACAAGCCTATTTCCCATCCTCGACTATCCTTGCCGGAGAGCTGACTGCCATCTAGTGATCCCTTTAACCACCTTATTCCCTATTGTCACTTTACAATATGCTTGTCTTACAGCTCCAATCTTTTAGTTTATAGCCTGTCCTCTTTCTCTTTTTCCCCGGTGTTATGAGCAATATCAATTATAAAGCATTGAAACACAGTCTACCAATCCCAGCAAAGGACAAACTAAATGTGATATTAAGTCATAATTTTAGTCCACATAATTTTTTTCTCCTTCTGTATTTTATAGAAAGGATATTGGATTTCTGTGTTTCACTATAACCTTGCTGTCAAATAAAATCCCTCGGCAAGGGAGAAGATTGTTTAACCCACCAGCAATGAACCATTGACTACGGTTGAATGTATTTAGCACTTTAATATGCCTATCTACCCTGGTAAAGGCTGTCTGTGCTTTTTGGTTGTTTCTCTTAAGTGATCTGGTACAGCTGCCTGTGTGCTGAGAGAGCAGAGCTCAACTGTTTCCAGCACCATATAAAAAAAAACCTGCTTGGAGCAAACCTTAATGACATCATGCTGCAAAAAGAAGTATCCTCTCTGAACAAGCCCTTAAATGTCAGCCATCCCACAGCAGGTACATCTCCCAGCAGCAACAAAATGAGACATCGTATATAGAAACACGACCCTTATCTGAGCTGTTTAGTCACCTCGTCCAAATTAGATGGAAACTGTCCTTAATTCATTAATATCTGAGAAAGGCTCAGAGGAGGTAAAACACTCTCTAACTGCTGAGAATCATGATAATTAATTTCCAAGTCCAATCCAATTAAAAAAGAACTTCAAAGGGACTTTAAGCAGGGATATCTGAAATGTAAGGTGTTTCAG